TCCCATTCGGAGACAGCAGCCTGACTTCCCTGCTTCACCTCCTTTGGGCACTGCCTCTGAGTTGGATGTCTGCCAGAGGAGGTGAGGCATTGAAGAACTAAACACCTGGGGTCATGCCCATCTCTATCTGGGATGCACCTGGATGACCCTTAGGATCACTGAAATATTTTATATCAATATCTCAATATTTTATATCAATATCAATATCTCACTGCCTCTCCCCTGTTTTGGAATACCGGGAAACATCACAAGATGTCAGATTGGGTTCTGTCAATGCCGAATACAGATAATGGTTGTGCCATTTCTTTCTTTCTCTATGCTGCTGAAGTGCATGAGGCAGTTTTCATTGTGTTACAAATCAAATAGGCACCAAAATACTGTACATTACAAGCTCAGATTCATTTTAATGCAAGCATAATATTTCCCATATGACATTAAAAAGGCAAATGCCAGACAAACACAGCTGAGGGATTTGAACTGGCTATTTTATCTTTACCAAGCAATTTCCCTGAGGCCCCTCCACATTCTTCAGAGGAAGTACTAAAGTCCAACCTTTGCTACATGAAGCTACCATTCTCAGCCCAGATTTCCTAACACAAACAGTCTCAGGCATAGACGGGCAGTGTGGCCTTCCAGATATGGTTAGACTACAACTCCAAGTATTCCTCCCCCTTACTACCATTTGCATTCCTGATCGAAAGCTTCACAATGTCCCAAACCCCCCATGGTACGATTTTCTTGGTATTTGAGTAAGTATATGCCAAACATGTAATGACACTGGACCACTTTTGTAATTTCTAATCCACTTTGACATGTAGAACTGCAGCAGCTGGAGCATTTCTTGCCATGAAGACAAAACACTCTGAAAAGTTTCATTTACATAGCTTTTTAAATGCCCCACTGCTATAAAAAAGGTAGGAGCTGAGCCAGTGAAAGAAATGACCATTTTTATCCTTCTTCAGGACCTTGCGGCACTCTTTTTTACGTACTTGATACCAGGAACTTAAAAATTACAGTTTTCCTTTGAAATCATCACTAGATCAAATGTTCAGATAACAAAGAGATATAAATCACTATACATTCTCTCTCTCTCTCTCTCTCTCTCTCTCTCTCTCTCTGTGTGTGTGTGTGTGTGTGTATTCACATACATTCTTTGCCATTAATGATACAATACAATCGCTTAGACAGGGAAAGGGTGAGCTTCATTGGACCATCAAATCCATTTCATTAATGGCACAGAATGTATAGTGATTTGCTTTGCTCATCTTCCTACTGAAAAAGCACAATGATGGTCATCAAGTCTTTTGTTTCTTCTAAGCAATGCCAGTCCTATAGAATTGTCCTCTTCCCCATCTTTCAGCTCGACATGCATTTGATAAATATGCTATAACTGTATGCTTGTGCCAAAAAAGGCTTCACCTGGCATACTTCTGCATATCCAGCTGGTACTAAGGAAAGAGTACTTAGAAAAACATATGCCTTAAATCCACACAATTAATTTTGCCCTATAGATACATATTGATTTCCATATATTCTTGCCATGTTTAATATTTATTTTATTTATATGCCACCTTCCTCCCCATAGAGGACGCAAGATAGGCACGGGTTACTTGGTGAGCCCTATTGACATATGGGAAGCAAAGAAGCAATACTGCAGTTTGGAAGATGCCAAGCTTTCTCCGTTAAATCTAGCCATCCATGGTAAATTTATCAGTTTGCATGTGTCTTGGATGGATGCATCACTCCAGACACTTTAGGCAAACAGACTCTAATTGGTAGAACAAATAGAAAGCCCTAAGGATGTCCATGCTTAATGACACTGCCAGTATTCTATAATGTCTCTACTTCAGAAATTACTCATTTCGTGGCTTCAGGCAATGCAAGTTAATTTATTTGTATCAATTGCTAAGTTACAGTGTTCACTTCTAACAAGATATACTACATATACTGTGCATATCTAGGAATATTTCTGGCAACTTGACTTTTAAACAAGACAGAACAAAATGGAAGCAGAGAGAGTAAAGAGAACTGCTGGATAGCTCAGTGACTTGTGCATCTGGCTGTAGACCCAGAGGTTGGGAGTTCAATTCCCTGCTGTGCCTCCCTGACAGGAGCTGGACTCGATGATCTATAGCAGTGGTCCCCAACCTTGGGCCTCCAGATGTTCTTGGACTACAACTTCCAGAAGCTTTCACCACCACCTCTGCTGGCCAGGATTTCTGGGAGTTGAAGTCCAAGAACATCTGGAGGCCGAAGGTTGGGAATCACTGATCTATAGGGTCCCTTCCAGCTCAGCAATTCTAAGACTGTAACAGTCCAGGGCAATGCAAAGAGAAAGAATTAACACACAATAAAGCCACATGCTTCTATGAATTACTGAGTAATTCAGTAAGGCTTATTTTCAAGGAAACAACCTTAATATCCTGCTATAGAGTATCACCAGAAACCTGGACTGAAATCATAAAGCTATTCACAGGCACAGTAGGGTCTCCAGGTAGCTTCTTCCCACTGTAATCTAGCATAAGAAAATACCTTGTTTATTTTAATGGTTACTATCATTCCACAAGTTACTCAAATGAATGAGGTTATATTTTTATACTCCACTTGCTTGTTGAGATATGGGGTGCTGGAGAATTATTTCATGTTTAATTCGTTTTATTTTCATCCTTTTGTTTAAAGTACATTATTGCTGGAGAGAACAGAAGGTTGCCGTTTCAAATATTTGCTGAGCAGAACACAAAGTTCTGCCAATGGACCGTGCATCTGTGAAGTCATGGGTCAAGATTGTTGACTGGTCTCTGAAACCATATTACTGAAGCGATTCCAACTTGCAGCAGAAGGCACAAATCAAATAGGAGGATACAAGTTGTTTTCCAAAGAATGGCTGTATTTCTTTTAGGAGTATTTAAGTATCTTTTTTTTAAAAAAAGAAACCAACATTGCTCATTCAAATATTAAAAGAGAGGTGTGTATATATGTCCTATGGAAACATTTCTTCCAGGCCAAGTCAGGGAAGATGGAAGAGGGTGATGGTCTGGTTCACCTGGGGAGGCCTGTGGGCTGCAACCAGCTCACAGGATATAGGTTCCCTGCTCCTGTTCGTGAAAGTGACGGCTCTTCTGCAGCTGAGATTCAGATATATATTATCTCTTGATGTATCTTCTTGTTAAGTATGAACTCATACTGTGAGACATTTGTCATGGGAGAGATCTATTGAGAGTGCAAAAGACAGAGAGAAAACTAAAAGACAGGGAGAGAAGTAGACACTGGGCTGCGGCACCTCCCTTATGAGAAAAAGCTACAGTGTTTAGGGCTCTTTATTCTAGAGAGAAAATGCGCCTGGGGAGGACATGACTGAGACGTATCAAATTATGCACAGGATGGGTGAAGTGGATAGAGGGAAGCTCTTTTTCATCACACACAATACCAGAACCAGAAGACATCCACTCAAACTGAGTGCTGGGAGAGTGAGAACAGACAAAAGAAACTAATTTTTTACCCAACGTGTTGTTAGTCTGTGGAACTCCTTGCCACAGGATGTGGTGGTGGCATCTGGCCTAGATGCCTTTAAAAGGAGATTGGACAAATTTCTGGAGGAAAAGTCTATTGCAGGTTACAAGCTATGATGGGGATGTGTAATCTCCAGTCTTAAAAGGAAGGTACCTCAACATGCCAGATGTAGGGGAGGGGTATCAGGAGATAGCTATCTAGTTGTCCCATGTGCTCCCAGAGACATCTGGTGGGGCCACTGGGAGATACAGGATGCTGGACTAGATGGGCCTTTAGCCTGATCCAGCAAGGCTCTTCTTATGTTCTTTTGACACAATAACTAATGTGGCAGAAGATTATCAATCTAACATTCTTTGTGGCAAATGGGATTCACTTGTTATGTAGAAAAGGGCAAACAAGACCAGTGTGTTGTTCATACAGACCAGAATCCTACTGCTGATTTACAGTGACATAAGGGAAATCATATATGTAGTGGTGGTAAATGGTTGCGTATTAAAAAGATGCTGGTTGTATTCCTGAGTGCGAGTCCAAGGGCATGCACCCAGACACAGAACCAGGGTCTCTGTAATAAGTGCAAATCTATCTCCAACACTTAAACAATTTCTGGTACACAATCATAAATCAGCAGCAGGATTCTGGTATAAAGTTAGCTAACACCACCAATAGCTGTCTATACAATGTCTTTCAGCCCTTCGTCTAATTCTTTGAAAAGTCATCTAAGTTAATGCCACACTTTGTTTGTGTGTGTGTATGCACACGGACACACTGAATTTCACAAGATGATTATGTAAGCTGTGCAAAAAACCACTCTTTAGTCTGTTCTCGATTTACTTCCAACTCGTTTATGGATGATCCTAAATACTGCTATCGCCATTGGGAAGGGAGATTAATTCTTACCTCCAGCTTAATTTTTTTATGAGTGCAGTTTCACAAATGGTGGTCAAAAAAAAGGGTAAGCAAATCACAGGCATCCTTCAGTCTCGAGAGACTATGGTAACATGCTCTGAATCGAGGAGTGTCCTCTCCAGAGCATGAAGCCCGGGTAAGGTAATATGGAGGATAGGCTGTTACCCAAGCAGCAGATCCCCCCTCTCCACATTGCTGAAATGGTCCAATGGAAAGGCAAGAGCCAATACGACTGGTTCCAGCAATGTTGCAGGAGTTGGCAGAACGACACGAGCTGCCTTCGGGACTCCAGCTCCGGATTTTGCCTCGAGGTTAACTCCTGAAGCCTTTTCCATTGGTGGATATAGCCACAAGGCAGTGGAGGTTTGAAATTGGAGTTTTCCTTCTCCTAGATGGGCTGCCTTCCATGGCTGACGAGCCCCACCTACCCGGCCTGCTCTTTAATAGTGCAAAAGTATGATCTGATCCTTAAAACTTTCCTAACTCCCCGGCTTATGCAAATCTAATTGGCTTTCCTATTTACCATATTAAGGCCAGATACAAAATTTGAGAATTACGCGCGCCGTTAGGCGCGCGGTCCTGGGACATGCTCATGGGTAAGCAAAAGTCAGTTGCATTTGGCTGCAAGAAAAGGAACCCAATTATTATCCCTGGGATAATTTGGCAAAAATGTTTTCTTTTGTACTTTTTTTTAAGATTACAGCCTCCAGAACATCTTAGCCAGCAGGCAGTTATACCTGCAAAAGGGAACTTTTCCATCTCTGATTTTCATTCCCACCTTTTCGTCTTCCTGATTAGATGCCCCAGAATTAAGAAAATTGACCTCAATCAGTTTTGGAATAAATCTTTTCCATCCTCGGAGAGGATGGCTATCTGAGACTCTAGAAAACTCACTCCAACTGTACTTGATCATTTCGCCTCTAAATTCCTAGACACCATTATTCAGTTGCAACAGCAGCTTGGAGCCCTCTCTGCCCTGTCTCAATCAATCCTTTTCCAAGCAGACCCTGCTGGTTTACTAAGACCTGACAGAGTACATGTACCATTAAGAGCTGCTCAGAATGAGGAACTCTGCCAGCTTCATATCTTATTACCCCCAGTCTTGTATTAGAAAAGGTATATGTGGAGAAATTCTCCTTTCTAAACTCAAAAAGATAAAGAAACCTCTGAGTCAGCTGTGTCTTCCAACCAAAATAGGAAGATCTTGCCTTTGAAGCATCATCCATCAAACAAGTTTGATTTGCAACACTCAGAATCATCTCTTTATAGCTAGTGCCCATATTATTATCAATTTCTTGGTTACATTCATATTCCAAAGTAACACTTAAATTCCACTGTTTGAACAAGGAGTACATAGTTGTTTTGCACTTTATCTTTACAACAGCCCAGCAAGGGTGGTCAGGTTGAGATATAGAAAGTGGCCCAAGTTCACTCAAGGTGTTCACAATCTGGATCTCCCAAGTCTCTATCCAACACCATTGTCCAGCTTCTCATTGAGAAAATCTTGAACAGAGATGGGGAGCGTTGCTTTTCTGGATTAAAAGTTCCAGAATGGTCATTGTTACATCTTCTTCTTAAGGCTCACAAAGAGTTCTCCTGGATTAAGAGAAAATGAAAAAAAAAATCAATGGAGAAAAAAAAATACAAACCTTTCTTATAGCAAGAGTAAAACAGAAAGCATAAGGAGTAACATAGCAGAATAGAGTGAAATCTCACTCCCCTTCTGGTCGTGGGAGCCCCTGGACTCTGTAGTTGTGCAGCATGTTCTGGAACCTAGATCTATGCTGAGGTGGACCACACGGGACATCTCAGCTCCATATATACTTTTAGACACCCTAGCAATAAGTGCACCTGTTCATTAAGCATATCTTGGTGCTGCCAACTTTCTTGCTGTTTACATTTCACTAATTGGCAAAATGTTAACAAAATATCTCCCTAATGAGCAAACTGATCACAGAACCAGATATCAAAGCACAAACACTTGCTAGAACTGTGTAGCCTAGGCGTTTCTTATCATTCTTGGACTTCTCACCCTAGAATATCTGGGTAAACAACTTGGACTCCACTCATGCAATCAGATGAGGCTGGTTTCTACCAGTTTAGTTAGTTCTTTCCCAGATGACCTCTAGTCACCTGTGGTATCAATTAGTGTCTAGCAATAGTTTAAGTATTGGATACCTAGAGAAATATTGATGCACACCAGACTAAATCTCCTCAGCAATGACAAAGTCTCCTGCATGGACACTACAACTAGACAGGAATCTACATTTTTCTTCTTCTGACAGTGAAGATGCAAATAGATAAAGATGCAAATTCTAATAAAGCAAATTATTTTAAAATGATATCTAGCATGGAGATGGTGGATCCTCTGTCATGATACTGTACTAGAATCTCAGGTCATCTCTGTCCTGATTTGCTCCACTCCAGGTTCAGTATATGGAGACTATGAAGAAGTAAATATTGCTTTAAGCAGTGTATGGTCAAAGTGCGGAACTCCCTGCCCCAACATGGTTGCCAGCCTGGACAGCTTTAGAAAAGGACTTGACAAATTCATGGAGCAGGGCAAATCTGATAATGATAAATATCAATATATCGTCACCGTCACCAGAATGGCAGCCAAATGTACAGTGCTGACAGAATAAGGCAGCTTTCTACTTTAAGGGGCACATACAAGGCACAGATCAGGCTGGGAAGCTCAGGAGGATCACCTCAGTGGTGGTGCCCCTACTGCTCTCTAGCATTTGCCCACCTGAGGAAGTTACCTCACTCTACCTGTGGGTACAGCCAGCCCAGCAGTGTTCATTGCATTACCTTCTCTAATGTTTAGACTCTCCTGCCCAGCCCAAAGTCTTTCATGTGGAAGGCAAAGGAAAAAAAATTTAGTGTATTGTGAGCTCTGCAAGCAGTTCACATTATAAGCACTTACAGTACATATAAGGAGAATATAATGAAGTGGTTTAGATATCTGGCTGTGGAGTCAGAAGTTGGGAGTTGGATTCCCCCACTGTGCCTTCAGGGAGAAGAGCCAGCCTGTGTGGCCTTGGGCAAGCTGCACAGTCCCAGGGCACCACCCCCCCGAGAAGAAGGGGGTGCTCTGGATTTTCTTCTATCTGGAAAACCCAGCAAAGGGATGCCATAAGTCAGAACTGACTTGATGGCACCTCATTATTATTATTATTGTGGCTGATGCTGTTGTTACAACTGAAACAATTAAAATATTAAGTAAATATGAGACTATTAACTCATGGTAAGACAGCTAGAGCTCTGGAATACACACAGTGGTTCTAGTGTTGGACGAAGACTTGAAAGGCTGAGATTCCCCTGGGTTCAGATCTCCACTTGACAATGAAATGTACCTGGTGACCTTGGCACAGTCACATTCTCTCCGTGTCACCTACTTTATAGAGTCATTGGAGTGAGGAAGGCAGCCATGTTCATCACCTTGAACACGTTGCAGAAAAGGCAAGATACAAATGTGCCAGATAAATACAACTATTAAAGAGGAGTAGAAGCATTGAACCACCAAGCACACCAGAGTTACACGCCCCAGTTACCACCTTTCTTAATTATCTGGGGACATCGCTCTGCATGCGTGGCACCATTGATGCAAGTGGCACAGGCAGCAGCAACGATTCGTTGTGGCCGTCACAGATGTGCAGTTTTGCTGGTGGTAACCAAATGCAAAGCAAGTTGGGCTGAGCACTAATAAAAATGGGGAGGGTCCCTTGGGAACCACTTTGGCGATGTTACTGCTTATTTATTACCCGAGCCCTAGAACAGCTCATTCTGACAAGGCATGGCATGAATGAATTAAGAAAATATTATATCCTTTATGAAAAGAGTCCTGCTCTAGAGGCTGGGGAAATGCCGCTTATGCCTCCACCTATGCTACGGAAGTATTTTACTTCCTGGTTATCAGATTCTCTTTCAGGTATTCTGTGGAATAAACTTGGCACTTTGAGTCAGGTTGCTCCACCAGGGTGGTCCTATCCAGAGCTTGGAAATGTTACTCTTTTTTTTTTTGGACTAGGGTTCCCAGAATCCCCAGCCAGTATGAACATGTGGCTGTGAGGACTTGGAAGTTGCAGACGGAAAACTCTGGTTCCCCTCCTACTCAGCGATGATTTAGGAACCAACTAAACAAACAAAATAGGGCCCCAGGCGAGGAAGGAACTCTAAATAACTCCCTCATAAACCCCTTCCCTGAACATTAAATTTCACGTTTGATGTCGTTGGTTAAAAAAAGAAATTAAGGAAAACTTAAGGGTGCAGTGGGGTGGATTTACGTAGGCTCAGCTTAGGCCTGTGGGGCCTCTAAATCCGCCTGGATCGCACCCATGGCACTCAAACTGAGCAAGACGCTATCGTTACAGTCTCGGCAACCGTTACAGTCCCGTTACGCCTCTAGCCCCCGGCTCCCAACCTGTTCCTTCAGATTCAGAGAAGCAGCCCCTTCCTGGGATCGCCAACCGGTGGCTCCGTTGCGGGCAGATCAGGAGCTCCGGTTCAAACCCACAAGCTCACCGCCACCCCTCCTAAACTGGCATCGCAACCCCCGCCGTGGATTAACTCTGCCCATTTATTTCGCCACCCCTGATTTGAGGGTCGCCACCCTTCTCCCAGGTCACTCTCGCCGTAAGGGAAGGCGCAGCCACCTGACCGCGCGCCCACCCTTTTTGCCCGAGGAAACGCTGCCGAATGCGTCGTGGGGTTTCGTCCCGACTCCCGAGTAACGCCGCGCCCCCCAGCAGCGCACCTTGGACTTGAGGGTACCTTCCCTCAACCGCTTCCTTGCAGCTCTTCGGGATGCTGCGAAAGTTTCCGAAACTTCGAGCCCGCTCCTTGAGATGGGTGTGTGTGTGTGTGAGGGGAATATCAGGGCTACCTCTGCCTCGGGGTCACTCGCTCCCCGGAGGAACCAATCATCCGGGAGAAACCTTTGCCTGGGCGCCCCCCCTTCCAGGAAAGGAAGCCTTCCCTAAGATCTCCTTGCCTGCCCACGAATGGCCACCCAGTTCCTCTAGACTTTGGGCGGGTGATTCATTTCAAGCCTCTGCCCTTCGGAGACGGGGAGGGGGGACGGGGGGACCCGCCCCCCCAAACACAGAG